TTCGCTTCGGTCTCGGTCTGGTGCCGAGGGGAGGGGGGGACACAAAGGGGACGAATAAGACTTAAGTCGTCGTTCCCGCGGTTGCATGGCCACACCGCCACGTTAATAATTAAACGGCGCTATGTCAAATTACCGTATTAAACACGCCACCGCCATACACCGTTGCTGGTAATATAATGCGACTATTATAATATTTTATATTATGTTGTTATGAGAGGATATCGCATAACGTCGTGTTTACCCGTCCACGGATGGCAGATGGACGAGGAGCTGTCTTCCTAACCGTGGTTACTGTGCACACGATTCGTACGAGGTCACCTCCTGACTTTTATGCCATACCGTTGAACGACTCGAATGCGAGGACTTGACGGAAAATTCGAAAAACTTCATCCCCCGTACAAAGTGCAATCTGCAGCAGTAGTGTCCCATGCCCGATCGATTAAATTTAAATTGCAAAGTCTCGATCGACGTCACTGCCCGTAATAAAATATTGGCAATAAACGGTTCATCATTGAGCCAGCCGCCGGATATATTATCATTATTATTATATTATATACTACGAATATAATAGGCCCGACTCTGTGTCTGTTGTGTTGATATTAAAACGCTGGTTAATGTTATCGAAATATTATAGTTTTCCGATACTGTCAATTCAGTTATTTATTGTTACGAAAAACGATTTCGACATGTTATTTATGTCGGAACAATAAACTGCATATAATATCTCGTTGTTGACATATTATTATACACGATAATATAAGTTTGATGAGCTTTGTTTCATTTACCTACCGACCAGTTCATAGAAATTTGATAGATATTGCAGTATGAATATTACTGAATATTAATATGAACTCGTTGTATTCGCTATGCGCTGCAGAATGTTACTATTCTCAGTGAAAACATTAAAAATATTAATTGTAATTTCAGAGAAATCGGAAAACACCATTAAAAGCTTGAAATGAGTTAGGTTGAAATGTTTTTTTTATGTATATATATATTTTTTTTTATATAGTAATTATCATCGTTGAAATATCTGCACAACATTTGCTGATGGTGGAAATAACTTTTTTTTTCATAAATTTAAAAAAGGATGCGGTAAACATTGAAAAATTTTCTTTGTCGACACTTGGTCCTTTGGGATATCTCTCCGATATCTGTACCACTACTTAAAGATTAAACATAAACCCTAACTATAAAAAATGTTGTCGGCGATGACCAACAGGATTTTTGGATTTTCATCTCGTAAGTAGAATAAACGATAAGTATGGACCGATGTAATACCAACGACCATTTTTGTTTTCCCTAATCAAAAGTGATAGAAGCGCTTTGTAATTTTATACGTCATAAACGGTAACTCTTATCGAAGAGGGAGAAAACAATTTCTTACACAAGAATCCTCGTTTACAAAATATTAATAACTATATATTAACATACCGTATCATATCATTCATATCAATCAAGATTCTGAACTTTGTTAGTCTATTTCACTACATTTGAGGAGTACCAAAAAACAGATCACACTTTTAAGTTTGTGTTTGGATTCCATTCGAATTATGATGAGAAATTGGAGGATGGTAATTAGGCAATATATTATACATACATATATTTTTTTATTGTATTTAATTGTCAATAAATTGAAAAGATTTTAAATTTTTAAATGTCTATAAATCGAATGAAAACAGATGGAATATTTTTTAAATTAAATTATGGGTTGAAACTTATCAATATAAATAGGTATCGGGAGAAAATATCAAGTCTCCATAGTTATAAATTTTTTAACAAAAAACCAATAGTAGTCAATTTAGTTAATTAATTAACAAAACAAGATCTAATAATTGGCTATACTAGAAACCGCTCTTAAAGGTTAAATATTGGAGAGTTGTTACTGGTCTTAAAAGGGTAATTTTTAGAATAAGAAATAAAAATAAAATAAGGAACAAAAAAACAGCATAGTAAACTCTGTATTAGAATCTAAAACTAATTCCGAGTAAAATTCCACAGCATAACGCCATGTTGATCTAATATGGTAATTTTGTTGTTAAAGAGGTTAATGGGATGAGTTCCGTAATTTTCACTTGAGAATCAGTTTCTGACTGCAAAACAAAACGTTAACACCACAAAGCATCATATTAAGGTAAAACGAGCACGCAAAAGTATTTTTACCCTCCATCAAACGTTCACATCAACGCCCGGGACCGTCGTTGCTTGTAGGTGCCTGCCTCCGTGTTTCGAGATGGCTATACTCATATTAAAGTTATTAAAAATTCGTAAAACTGATTTTGATTAAATAGTCGACACCGCGTGTAGACAACAAAAGGATAATCGTCAAGGGAAAACTTTGTCGAATCTTTTTAAATTTACCATAATAGCTCTATTAAAACCTTAAGAGATAAAAGTTATAATGCTGTTTGTCGGAAACTTTTGGAGTTTCGTTAGATCGACAAGAACTTCAAATTAAACACCGTTTTCGCCGTAGTATACAGCCGTCATGTGCCCACAAAACTAATTTCGAGAAAATAATATTTCGCTAAAATATATATATATATATTATATATATACATCATACATAATATTTAAATATTCTTCTTCTCGCTGGTATACGTTTATTCTCGACTTGTTGTCTGTGCTGTTTTTATTTTCTTAACCACGTCAACGGGACTCGCGGTTGATCTAGATTATTTTTTGTCTTTGTAATCCGCATACAATGTAGGTAATAATAATATTATAACGTAAATGTTTTTATTTTTTTCATTCGCCGCTTTTAAGCTAACTCCGTAGACGCGTAGTGTGTGCATATACTTATGCTTTTGTTGTTTCACCACCACCCCCTTTCCATGAGTTCACTCTCATTTATTCTCTGCCACCGATACGACGACGACGACGACGACGACCTTCATTACTGTTTAATCGGTACCGCCAAACAAAGTTTCGCTCGCGGGGTTAATATACGCGGTGTGGGTATGGGAGTAAGTCAATCGAAAATCCAAAAAGTTTTGTGCCGCGGCGATTTGCTCCACGCGAGGTAAAACTTTATCGCCGCGTAATCTCGCTTGACTCTGATAGGGGGGGGGGGGGTTGTCGCGAGCGGATGAGCGAGATGAATCTACGTATTTGACGACGCGCGAGTGCTCAAGCATTGTTCTAGGTATACGCGTCGTATAATATTATTATATTAAATTGCACACACGCTCGCGCCTTGCCGTGTAGGTACAAGTATACACTAGCATCCGGTTGACACTAGTCGTCGGTGAAAAAGGAAATGAGGAGATTGCGGTGGCAACGGGAATCGCCTTGAACCGCCCCCTCCTAATAAAGACTTACCCCTAAATAATTAATTCACAAAAATATCATCCGATTCAACAGAATCAATTTTGTTATTTTGAATCGTGTGTAAGGTTTAATATTGATATAGGCAGTGTCTCAACAAGAAAGCCGGATTAGAAAAGTCCGCTGTTTCCGGTGACTTTTTTCTCGTGACTTAAAACCGTGGTATTTTTTTTCTTATGTTGATACACTAACATTCACGAGTTTACCAAAAGAAAGCCCGAAATATCTTGGAATAAGAAATTCGACGTGTCCTCGCCGAAGATGATAGTCCAATACGTGGAGATCAGGTGATGGACAATTTCATGGAACGAATAGAGGCGGGGGAGGGGGAGGTTGTTATACCTCATGATATTTTTCCGATTTAAGCCCAAGCTTCTCCAGAAGGGAATGTTATATATTATATTTTTTTTTACATAAACAAATTTGATTTATCGCAGTTTCGAATCTTTTTAAAACACTATATACCTACCTAATAATATGTTCAGTGTAAATACTACCTGGACACCTGGTCTGAGTGTATAACCGGTACTTTTGGAGTTATGGTTTTATGCTACTAATTTATGGTACAAGTCATGTATTATTAGTATAGTTGTATAAATATTTAAGTGCATACACACTACACACTTGCGCCCCGTTGAGTACACTTACACACTGAAGGTGGGTCAAATTGTTACAAGTTCACACAATTGAATGGAACTGTAGGTGTTCAGTTCGAGTTTAAAATTGAATTTAGTCTTAAAAAAACTGAAGCAAACCAAACTTGAACAAAAAGTTCTAAATGCAATAACTAATCGGAACTTAACAAAAAACATTGGTAACATCATTCGTCGAGAATAAAAATTAATTTATATTTTGTATTTTAATTTGAAATTAAAACTAAAAAGTTTGATTCGTAATTAAATTCAAAAGTTGGGCTCAAATCCAATTTGGTATTTAAAAAAATGTTTGCTATAAGTTCGGTTCGATGTTCGACTTCGTACTAAATCGTTCGATTCTTGTTCTGTTCAAGTCCTGTGATTAAAAGTTCGAGACCATGTATATTTTGAGTTCGACTTACATCTATAGTGTACACGCATCCGGTTGACACTCGTCGCCGACGAAAAAGGAAATGAGGAGATTGCGGTGGCAACGGGATTTGTCGTAAACCACCGCCGAATGAAGGCTTGCCCCCACACGGCCAAATAATTAATTTGTCTGAATATCATCCGATTCCGAGATATTTTATCATTTTGAATCTTGTGTAAGATATAATAATTTATATAATAGTATGGTCGGAACACACACGACAGTGTCTGCGCGAATATCCGGTACTCCCCCCAGAGTTATAGTTTTATACTACTCGTGCACGGTACCCATCCGTCGATTATTAAAATAAAATATATTCAATTTATTACCTATTACACTCGAAATACGTTTTTATAGTCACGCGACGATGGTATTTAATTTGCACCATTTTAATAAGTTATCGTGACTACCAAATATTTGGTATGAATTACTTAATATTATCTGAATGGATCAATCAATATCTTAAAATTATACTCATTCACTGTTATGTATTAATTTACATATTTTATTTTAATATGTTTAGTATTACCTATAATCAAATTTTGAACTTCAAAACAGAAAACACAATTAACTGATACAATATTAATTTTGCATTTTTTATTTTACAGTTCATCCAGTGATTTCGTCACCTAGTCAATTGGTCGGCGCTCCAAAAGGAACCGAAGTCAAGTTAGAATGTAATGTCGAAGCATTCCCAAAATCTATAAATTACTGGGTCCGAGAAAGTGGTAAGTGTAGTTTTAACTATTTCAATCTTATTGATATTTGTTATTATTATTTTTCCATTGGACGTAATACGGTTATGTCAGTTTAGATTGAACACATAATAGAACATCATTAAACTGTAATATTGTGCGGGATGCTATTTGAAACCGAAAAACAAATTGCATCTCGTGGACTGGCTTGAAAAAGCCAAATTAATTGATTGCATTGGTTTTTGGCATAATCCTTAGGGTCTTAATCTGGGTTCAAAAAGGCCACGATTCCCAAAACGTTCCAGCTATAGGGTCCACTCTGTCCCATTCGTATTATAACGACGGGAATTGCTTACAAATAAATCGAAGGAACTTTGTGAACGTTTCCATTCTCAAAATTAAAAATAATCCTTACGAACATTAAATTAAACGCAAATGTAATGCACAAAACTGTCTCAAATAATTTTCATACGTACTTGCACCTTAGTATATAGATATATATGTATGATGTGTTTATGTTGACAGATTATAAACAACTATAAGCTTTATAAACTATCAACTATATTAAAACAATTAAACGCTTATATGTTTCATTGCATAATCAATGATTACGATTGTGTATTAAGAAAATCATATTGATTTTTATTGATTTTTATCAAAAGATACATAACATCATTTGATATAAGGTAATTGCAGTAAAATATATCAACACTTTAAGTGTTCGAAAGTGTTTCATTTTGAATATAGTTTTTAATAAAAATATTTAAATGGTAAAATAAATCATCTGATTGTTGTCTTCAAATGGTATCTTTTGAGAGTTTGTTTTTTTTTAATGAAACTACCGCATTATGATTTATTAGGTGAACAGTTCCATTTTGTTTTATTTCTTGTATTCAACGAGTGAAAGACTCTAAACAAAAATCTCGAAATATTGACTATTTTGTCAGTGCCCCCCCCCCCACATAAAGTGTTCATTAAACTTTTACAACATACTTGTATGGATGGTAAATAAAATATTAGTTAATTCACAATAATTAAAATTACATTTCATAATTTATTTACTACCACGTGACGTCAAAAAAACCGTACACGTATTCGAAACTTTTCAGAATCTGTTAATAATAATGATTTAATGACAAATATGTACATACTTAACTTGTCACATTAAACTTCGAATAGAAAACTTAATTCACATTTATGTACAGATGTAACATCAGACTCTTAGAATCCGAGTATGAATTATTTTGTTTAAGTAAAATAGGTATGACAAATACATTTACATAAATGTTAATAACCATACATGTCAGAACAGTTTCGTTGAAGTATAAATAGCACCCACTCAATAAGCATCATGTACCTACTTAAATATCGTAGAATTATTGTAGTGATATTCTTGTTGTTAAAATATTACAGTATGGCGGTAAACAATAAATTATAAACACTTAATACGGGAATAATTAAAAGTTATGATTTTATTTCGAAACTACGAATTAAAAGTTATAAATTATATTTTTTCTTTCGTGTATTTTAATAACAGTTTAACTGCATTTAAACATCATAAAAAAAGTTTTTTATTCCAATGCTATGCTAATAAAATGGAATTTTGAATTGTTTTTATTCTTGACATCGTCCGTGGGGAGTTCACTGCCGTATTAAAATTATGAATGCGTTTTACAATGAATAAAAATCTCTACATTACAATAACACCGAATATTTTTTGATACCGCTGGCATTGCCGAAAGCTGGTGATTATATATATATTTTTTTTATAAGCCGCTCAAGTAAAATATATTATTTTTTTTATCGATTTATCAGTTTTTCGCAGATTTGTTTTTACTCAGTCGAGGCGGATAAGAGAGCTTCGCCCGTGGACAAAATTTTGGGAAAATAAGAGAAAGTTTGTTTTAATATTTATATTTATATATTTATTATATATTATTGTATATATATTTATTTGGCCGAGAAAGTGGTTAAGGGACTGGCGATGACAGCTTCTTGGCTAAAAACCAGTCCTCCTTCCCAAGTTCATTTATGGCTTTGCCAAAATACCCTCGGTCATGTTTTTAATCGACCTCACACCACCATAGGAATATTAAGTAAGCTCAAGCCCGCCCGACTGTCCTGTTTAATTATTGAAGCCAAGAATATTTTATTAATATTTTCGTCGCTTCAGATTCAGTCAAGTTTGAGAGAGAGAGAGAGAGAGATACGTCGTTACTATACCGACTCCATTGTTTGTTCTTTTTATTTACCATCCGACGTCTTCGCCCTCGTTTGGGGTAGCATCATAACAATATCGTAAAAATAAAAAAATAAAATAATATGAAATACTCTAAGAGTCTAGAACGTCAATATGATGTTTAAAAAAAATATATTCTTTACTTTGTCGTCACTGAGTACAGCACTTTGATTTACAGCTTGTAATATACATAATTCAGCCTATAGGTATATTATTTGTGTACAAACGTATACATAACGTGTCCCAGAAGTCCCGCATATCACTCTAATAATCTTGGTGACAAATAAATATTATGATAATATTTAACGGTGATTTTTGAATTTTTCAGTAAAAAGATGACAATTTTCAAATTTCGGTATACCTTTGAGAAACCGGGATTTAAATATTTTCCATATGCCACGGCATCATAGAGATATTCTAATCGTGTGATATTGGAATTATGAAACTCAACACGTTTATATATTTATATACATGTTTTCTAAAATCGTTAACATCTCAGTTAATAGCTCACGCATATCTATATTCTATATATTATAGTATGGTAGGTATATCGTATATATTTATATGGCTTGATGAAACCTACACCATTTGAGGACAACGATTGTTAATATTATGTTTTCTTGTATCATAGACTTAAAGTTTGATTTTGGCGGTAAATCTGTACTTTAATATGTAACTGTGGTTTTTCCAACAGTTATCCATAAGATATTAATTATGACGTTAGATTACGATTTTCGTAACACGGAAAAACTGACATTTAAATATTTTGATGTGTCACGGCCCCTCAGATATAATATACTTAGGGTGTGAAACCTTGTTTTACCTAGGCTTTTAAAGCATACTATGTTTATATACTATTTTCATATATAAGTATATTTGTGAGATCGTTAACATCCATAGCTCATACATATCTTTGTAGGTTGATGACATCTAAACCACTTAACGACAATAATTGTTGGTAATATTATTTTTATCTATATTTTATTTTAGTTATAGCTAGAGAGTTTGATACTATATTTGGCATACTTTTCACTCAGTTATTCATATTATTTAGTTTCTTATCAACGTCGAGTCATTATTATAACTAGTTAGTCACAAAATATAATAATAATATATGTTTTGGTATCTCATCACGCCTTTCTTTTTTATGGAACCTAACACCAATGCAATGCTTGAAATAGGTAAAACTCTATTATTAGAATTATGGCGTATTTTACAATTTGTACGAATTTCTGACTCGGTTATTTCTTGGCCGTTATATCGTGAATATCTATATATACCTGTTCCCGGTGAAAATCTGAACCACAAACGTATACTTTGTGCGAAATAAAGTCCCGAACAATATCGGAAACCTTTAGAAATTGGCTTTTGGCCATAGACAATACAATAAACGTATGCCATTTATATACGTTTTCGTACACATATATGCAATATTATTATCTTATCTAACATATTATTTATATTCTACACACTAAAAAGAACGTGTTGACGCGTATTCACCCTTGGATTTGTGCTAAATATTATTATGTTAACATATATCTATACTTAGTGTCCCGATAAATTGGTGACTAGATCTTTTACCATTAAAATGTATTATGTAATTTTAAATACTTAGTTGACTATCCCAAAATATTATCACGATAAAACCGAAGCTAATAAAATGTCATACTATTAGTCTCTGTGTACCGAACGCAATAAAACGCAAATAACCACTAACAACAATGATGACAGTCGTATTTTTTTCACTCTAGTCCGTTTGTTGATTAGAGGTGTGTAAATAATAATTTTAACAAACGGTAAAATAAATAACATGGTGGATTTGTTTTTAATTTAACATTATGTTATTATAATTATTAATTATTATACATTATATTTAATAGAATCTTAACTTATAGGTTTAGATATTTAATTTAAATTGTAATTTTGTTTTAACGTACATTTACTTTAATTAGGTTAGGGGTCGAATCCAATGGATTGAAGATTACTATTAATCATAATTATCATTACACATTATATACATAAATGATATATGCCTTACAATGCTTTATTAGATTATTCTTACTGTCGTGTTGATAAGAGTTTCTCTGAAATAGTCACTTACATTCTGTATGCACTTTGTTCACTCAATATTTAAAAATAGTTCACTTTTCTCATAAATATTTTAAACAATTTAAACATTTAAAGTCGTTCTCTTTAACACGAATGCTGTACTGAATATTATATTACATAATAATATTATGCATAGCAGTCTACTCGTATACATTTTTCAATGCACTCCAAATTCCAACGCAAATCATTCAAATATTAATAATATAAGATATATATAAACATAAATACGCATCTATACAATAAAAACGACATACAACTGCGTGCCCACACACACAGATACATACGTGACGTATTTTTTAAAAGCCTTTGTGCTGCATTATTTTGATATAATCACAGTTGTCGATGGAAACATTTCCTATAGTTTGCCTTGAATTTAATCAAATGAAGCGTGTCGCGTGGCTTTTATACGAATACGACTGCATATACCTAATGGGCGTGTCTGGCGGTATGTGACTGAATGTAGTATTATGAAAGTAAACTTAGTCGAGTTACTAGGTGTCTCGCTGTGATTAAGTCTCGTGAACTACACATATTACCTGGTATCAGGTATCGTCCCCACCGTAGTGCATATTATATGATACACGTAGAATAATACTACGCTTAATACGCGTGTGACGGTATGTTTTCTACGAGGAGTCTGCGCCGTGACAGAGGACGTAAAAAGAAACATCACCCCCGCACCAGTGGTCGCAGACCGGAAAACAAAAGGTATGCCGACTTCTGATTTTCACCCTCGGTCGTGGATTTCGCAACTCTTATCTTATGCGCATGTGACTCTGTATGTGTGTGAGTGTGTGTAGGTGTGTGTGTGCGTGTGTGTGTCGCTAGAGTGATTGTGGCGTTGAGGGTGGTAAACTGTAAAGTTCCTCGTCACGCGCGGTATAATCCCGGTACAGCAAAACTGCAGACAAACGACGACGGGATGTTGTAGTATACGACAGACGATAAAACCCCCCAGGGATGTTTCTCGTGTTCGCTTTTTGCATCTGGTTTGGTTTTATTACAGTCTTGCGGCGCGGTTAATAATAACGCACAATATACCACATGGCTTCCGCGATATTCTCCGTCCACCGGAGATGGCGGCATACATCGTCTTGGGACTTATGCATATAGCTGTTTGTAGTTGCCACCACGATTTTCTTAACAATTTCTTAGCCGCAATAAAAAATGAGTGGTAATCGTGCTTGGACTCCGGTGTGTAGGTATTATAATAGTTTCGTTTAAATAGCTCGGAAACTATAAACGCTTAAAAGCGCCGATGCAAAAGCGCGAGTGGGGGAGAGGAGAAAAACAGCATTAATGAGCCGTTGTACTGACAGTATATCTCATAATATTCCTTTTCTTAAAAAAGCCTACAACAGCAGCATTATGTTGACGTTGTCATCTCAATATTAATAATATAAATATTTTTTTTTTTAAAGTTTGACCGTTTGAACTCTCTAGAATCAAAAATGTCGGGTCCACTGTAAAAATAGCTGTGTTATTATAACATATTTCATACTGGGGTACAGTTAATGTACCTAAATTGCCTATTCAATGCACCGTCTTACTATTTTAGTTTATAAAAATAAAATCGTCAGTACGACAGTACGATTGAAACGTGAGCCGATCGCTATTGGATGATTACCATTTACGCGCTTACACTTTTTTTTTATCTAAAACAGCAGTATAAGTATTTATGTATTAATATTGATTATATCATGATTTTGTTTTACTTTTTCTGTTGACTAAAATTAAATATTTAACATTATTAAATTCGTAAAATTGATTAAAATATAATATTGTTCAGTGTTCTCGACGAGGGATTAATATATTTTCTTTTTCTGCAGGTGATATGGTAATAACTAGTGACAAATATCAGACAAACAGCACGACCAAGTCTATATTCGAGGACCAGATGGTGTTGACCATAAGATCGGTTGAGAAATACGACTTGGGATCATACAGATGCATAGCAAAGAATTCTCTCGGCGAAGTGGAGAGCAATATCAGATTATATGGTAAGTGAATCTTCGTTGTCCGACAATCAAAGTCTTTGTCGACGACTTGGGAGAAATGGCAACAGTAAATAAAAACAAGGAATAGCTGACAAGTATATAGCCGTCTGGTGGTATGAAGTTGGGGGTGGGACGTGCATTACCGTTTACTCTCGGAAACTCATCCGTTAGCTCTGAGATGACGAAAAAAATCATTTTTCTGCGTTACCTACTGTATGAATAAACGACCTGCGTCCTGTTGCACGAAAACTTTTGGGTCGTCCGGCACCCCGTTTAATCAAATACCATCGAGAAGTCTCTGCAGCTATCTATTACACGTATCCTTCGTTGTTTTTTTAGACAAATAACACGATGTGATATTATAATATAGCCACTTTCCGTGTTCAGGGTGTTATTAAAAGTTTAACCATGACTAATAATATTGTGAAATTTATATTCAAGTTTCATTACGGAAATGATGTGCAGACCTTGTGGTGCAGTCCTCTAGGGGCTAAAAACGGGTTGTACAGGAAATATTAGAAAAAGAGATCTTCCTGGAGGTGTGTCCTAAAATAATACTAGAATAATGTTAGCTGTGCTTTCAAAAGAAAAACAGTATGACCTGAATGAATCCCGAACTAAAAATTATTTTTATATTGCACAGCTCATGTGCGTCCCAGTTTAAACGAATTGAATTTCTCAGGGTTCACCATGAACAGGTAAACATTGGATTACACTTCAAAAACTTATTTTGCGATGTCATTTTTAAAAATGTTAGAATTTGATTTTCAATAGTCTCGTCAATTTAAAATTTTAATTTTCTTTTAATATTTTTAATGATATCACACATTTCTGAGAAAGTTTTTGATTGGTTCTTATATATGTATATCTACACGAAATCAATTTTCTATGATTCGAATTTTCATTTCTTCATTCTTGTGTAATATATACAACTTATCAATAATTACAATTTTTTTTGGTTTACCGATCTTAAGTAATAAAGTATTTAATTAAGATATTGAATTAGCATAATGTATTTATTTGAATTATTTTTTATGTACTCATCTTAAAACGAATGTGTGTTCGGGTGAAATGAATACAATTATGAATTAAAGATACAATTAGACGGATCCTTTGGGGTCTACTAAAAAAATATTAGCGACAACAATACGGGGTCACTTCAGCAATTAAAAAGGTACAATTTTGAAAACGGGACCCACTAGGATGACGCCCTAAAAAAACTGATATCAGTATTTAACTGGTAGGTATCTACGTATATAAATTCAGTCAATTATATTAGTTAGTTCTTACGCTATTACACTATGTGTACTTTTTTATTTAAAAAATTCTACAATCTGTACATATTATCTGGTACAATAAGTATATTAAGTGATTCGATTTATTTATTTATTTACATTAAAAAGTCTTAAAGGCGTAGGGGGAAAACTATCTAGAGGTGGCACTTCAACGCGAATTTTTGTGCTACAGTGTTATTATTAAATTAGGTGTCAATAGTCAATACCATTGTCACATGAGAATTCTGAGGATGAAATTTGGGAAGAATAAAGATTAAAGTTTTTTATGAGGTTATGAATGCACTAATTACTGTGGGTTTGAAGATTTCGAGTGTTTTTATTATTTTGGGAATGTGTGAATCGTCTAAGATATATTATGTAGAATAAGAGTCTGAGTGTTTAATTTTATAATATTTATATCTGTATGTACATAATTTGTATCTGTATTATTTTTTATTTATTTGTATAGGTACCATAATATATCCATATGGGTTTGAGTAAAAGGTTGTAAATATACATTTTAGTCTTAAGAATGATTTTTGAATATTTACGTAGGATATGCCGGAGTTCATAAAATAGTTTATTTAATGAACTGAGTCAGCTTGGCTGAAAGAAACACTTTGATTATCAGCCAACACTGTACTCGAAAAAAGATAGTGATTAGTTTTAAACATCGTTTGGGTTAGGCTGTTCTCATAGTACTTGCTAACTTTATAAATCGTCAAACACCGTGTCTTGTTTTCGTTCTCAGAGATACGGGGCTTAAACGAGAAAGAAGACGACGACAACGGTGATCTGTCAGATCTCTATCCGGAATCATACACGGAGACTCACCACGCCTATGGCGGTGGCGGTGGAGGCGGTGGAGGTGGCGGAAATGGAGTAGGTGACTACAGGAACCGGACCAAGCACAGACACCACACGGACGCAAATCCACCCACACCCAGCCCAAGTGCATCCACCCGATTGGTTCCACCGTTCTACCGGACTTTTGAGTACCTCTGACATACGGTTCCCGTCTGGTAAGCGCGAGTGGAGCGACTACCAGACGAGCGTGGTGCACGTGGTTCTTCCTAACCGGCGTTCGTCGACACTGATACGAATAAGCCGCAAGTACACTCTACTACCGCCAATGATCTATGAGATCGCGATAATAATAAAATATATAATATTATAATAAACAATAAAAACTTAAAAAACAATAATTATTTTAGACCCAAAATCCGCCTTTGTCAGAGCCGCGTTAAGTATCCCGCCTGACTACCTTGTACCTACTATATACATACCTGCATACTCGCCGAATTTCCAATGTACACAATTTAGACCACTTCCAGCAGAAATGCGTCGCTGTGTGTGACTAGATTGTTTAAAAATCCAAGTGCTCGGTGTCGAGATAATAACCGTGAAATCTTGCAGAGTTATTTATAATTATATATAAATATGCATACGAGGTGTGTTTAATAAAATACCCAAACAGAAATCTGTCTACATAGGTAAATCTATAACACAGTTGGTAATTTATTTATATAAAAATAATCAAGATACGATTTCCAGTGTGGGCTTATGAAATTAAAATCATTTCTCAATCCAGCATAGACCTATCGTATAAAATCGCAACCTCACGATAAATTATAAAATAAAGTAACAACCGAACAACTCGTGCGTAGGTATTAATTTTTGTCTGAAAATCAATCAAAAGAATGTTATGGAAACTTTTGAATTTATAATGTTGAATTTTGAAGATAATTCTTTAAGTCGTCCTTTAACTTTTTACTAGTTCAAGTTAATCCTGCCCCACATTTCGTGAAATCCCACCATATTCACCTGTCTTGGACCACTACTGAGTCTTTTTATTATTCCCAAAACTAAAACTACTCTCTCAAAGGCTAAAGATTTTAAGAAGTTAACGAGACCGTTCGCAATGTGATGAGAGAGATTAAAGTTATAACTTTGGCGGAAACACAAAGGTCTCTTCAAAGGATTTGAGGACCGCGTTAGAAGCAATGTATTGAAGCTAAAATACAATATTAGTTTGAAGGCGACCCATTCAATTTGTAAGTTTCAAATACACAGAATAATAACATGTTTGTCCCCATGGGTATTTTTCGAACACATCTCGTGTGGCGTACGATGTCGGGGGATTTAGAACGTCTTTTTTTTTTTACGTTTTATGAGTTTTTCCGAAACACCTCGAAAATTGCCGACCCTTCAACGCCAACTACCTCCCGGCGTTATTATTTTAATATTACAACAATAATGTTATTTAGGCGCCTACGTCTCGAGAGCCTTAATGCAATTATTCCGGTCTCCAGACTCCCTGTTCCTCTTACACAGGTATGAATAACATAATATTATTATGTAATACTTTTAACAATTTATTGTCAATACTTATTATTACCATAATTATTATTATTATGACATATTGCTATTATTATTATTATTTGTATTATAATAATAATTATTATTATTAAGTGTATAATATTAAATTATAACTTAAATTAGAATGTATTATTATTAATACTTGAAGACAAATAATTGATATACGGTTGTTTGAAAAGAAAATATAAGATTACACAATTTCCATAAATTGTACTTCTCTGTTATATTTTTGGAATCCTTGTTATTGTTTTTGACCGCTGTGTAGAAATTACATGCGAATCAGCGAAGAATTCAAGATCACACTGTCGTCGTTAAAACCATAGCTTCGAAACGACTCGTCCACCCAATCATCCATAAAATGTATATAAAAATTAAAAATTTTAGCTAATGGTGGTTGCTTTTCATTAAGTATTTATGTTGCACTCATTAAAACTATAATGTTACTCTTTTTATTATAATATTATAGCCATCTGTAAAACCGCCAACATCAAAACGTGTGCGATAGCCATGTTAAAGACGCCATATTCCACTTTTATGACTCCGGCACTCGTTTCACACTATACATAACGGCGAACACGATAAAAAATAAACCTCATCGGTTTTTAAATATTTTTATTATAATATAATATTAAAAATCGTCAAGTAGCCCCCTGAATTGTAAAATTAAAGTATCAAGTAATCTCCACCACTCTTTAAGTTAAAGTATTATACTATTATTATAACTTATAAGTAATATCTATTTATAGATATATATATAATAGATTTATATCTATTAGAAATATCTATTTCCAGTTCATAAATAACATACATTATCTACCTATATTATCCTATTATTTTTCATTTACATTTAAATTTTTAATCAGGTTAGGTTAACATAGCTTATCTTAGTTCCAATCATGAAAATAATTCTCGGTGGACCACGGCTGAGCTGTATACTAAATTCTTTTTTTCTAAATATCATTTATGAAAATGAATACATATTTTATTATTTATTTATTTATTTCAATAATTATCATAGTGCATTAAAGCCCTTTGACGGTATATTTATATCTTGACTTCTTTCTATAGTATTAGGATTCTTTCTTTATTTACTGTAAGGGAGTTCAAATTTACTTAACAATACATGTTGCATAATAAATTGTTGATTTTTCATTTAAAAAATATAATACGTCAAGCGAAGAGGGCGAGAAATATTATTTTCCCCTCACTGTCAAATCTACAGTGCAATTTAACTCTGCATAAAAAAAATACATTACAATAGTATGGATACATTTAACATTTCGCGTTTCTTTTAAATTGGACTTTTACAGATAACAGTTTTTCCCAAAAGATCACTCCGGGCCTATTCATAGGAATCGCCAAATGTAATTCTCTCTGGGAAATCTTGATTGTGCGTTCCTTCTTCCACCATAGACCATATATGATGACTTGTTTGTTTCGATTTAATGTGGTTCGCAATTTGTTTTAAATCCTCCCATCGCGTCTTATCGTTACCAATCATTATTTTTCTAGACAAATTTTATTTACGCGAACCTTCAACGACGGAGCTGGCAATATAAACCATATGGTGTATTAGTACTCCGCAGAAGACAGTCGCCGTCGTTTGAGCAATTTAAAGATACTTTTCGCCCGAAGTAAGTACTCTTTTTACACTAATATTTGAACATTGTTTTATTCTTATGATATTCAATTTGAAACTATTTTAGTTCCTCGAAAGTACTTAATATTAAAGCACTCTCCTTAGCTACAGTACATAATCACCGTTCGGCGTTCGCTCGTACCTATATAATTTGTTATAATATTTTAATCTGATGTTTTAAAATGTATTTATACTCCATTTTTTTTTAAATAATCAAAACAAATCATTAAATATATTATGAAAAAATATATGAGAACACAGTTTAATATATTATAGATATTTAAAAAAATGTATAACATCAAAATGTAAATTTTAAATGATTTTTAATTCCAAGAATCACAGTACAATATGTCAAAGATTGTTTAGGTACTTTTACATCGAATATTAATTTTGGAAGCCCACGGTCACTCATATTTTGTTAGGTGATAATAAATTATTATTTAATATTTCTACCCAAAAAAAATTTAAATAATAAATTTTGTATGTCACGTAAATGAGTTTATTATCATTATTTTTTAAATATTCTAGTGTCGTAATTATTATTTGAATCTGTAAAATTTTTATTGAAATTATCAGAAAAATGTTCTTTTTTCAACTTTATGAAAAACATGTACTTATTCGGCATAGGAAAAAAGGTTTAGTCCTCTACTCAACACACGTCAGCTGGAGCTTTAGATTATATTCAACTTATATAGTAATGACAATGGCAAAATGCTGTTCTCCTCGTTATTGTTTGTATATATTATTGTTATTTGTTTTGTTATTGTTGTTATTATCAGTGTGAATTCGACACATGAAAGAATATATCGGGATTCCATAAAACGAGCTTAACCCTCATAAATTCAGTCACAATCTGAGCTTACTGTTAAATGAGATTTTCTAAAACGCACGACTCCGGAATTTCCATAAAACCAAATGAACGATTACGGAGTGAAAGCATTGGCATTTTCAATTGGGTTGTGTCTGAAAAAGCTTTCCACATACGATTGCGGGTACATATTCAATTCAAAGCCTAAGTACGGGATATTATCTTCTAAAACATACAAACGTGATTCTCATATAAACACCACACTTAAAATGAATAATACTGATCTCCGAACTTTTGCCCGTCTCCGCCAAACTGTGCACGATCCACTAATACGCAGACTGCTGTTGTTGTTTCTTTTATTATATTATTATATAAAAATACACTTCAAACCCCTTAAAATATAAAGTATTCAATTTATATTTACGTGAGTAGTTCGCAGTATCAGCACATATATATTATATATAACCTATATATACATCATGCCCCTCACAAAAATATTCCATTATCATACAGAACGTGATCGTTTGTTTTATAAATCATGTTTATATATACTATTTAGACTACCTGCGCGTAAGTCGTACGTATTGTGTTGTTACGAATTTCTTTGTTAGCGCACATTGCTAAATGTCTATAACATGTATTTTAAATATAATACACAGAGTGAATGCTATTGATGCGTTTAAGTTAAAATGTGTTAATCAATATTTAAAATGTCACGCCACGTAATTAGACTGCCATTAAAAAGTATCAAAGGCTCGAATAAGAATTAATATTATTACAGCTCCGCATTATGTAACGACACATTTTCCTTTCAAAACGCTCGTAATAAGGATGTCTTTGAAGTCGTTATAAAATTATGGAAATTGATCATAACGTCGTCAGTGCAACAAGAGCAGTAGACCAATCCCGTTTAGTGATATTTCAGAAAAAAACTTTAAGTTGTCGAAAACTATTAAATTTAATACTCGCACATCTCTCGAGGACTGCATTTAGTTTTATCGACCCGTCGTTAACACTTCGAGTGTAAACGTCGACGTCGTTTTGACAACAAGCCGCGCCACAGAACTCCACGAAACTGCAGGTGTTTTTCATTATCTGTTGATTGTTGGATATTATAGATTATAACAACAACTTTTTTTGTGAAAAACATCGTCTCAAGTTGCCGGTATGTCGTGTGTGCACAGGAACCAAAAGCTCCTCTCGAAAACGCACCTATACAGACGGTTATGTCGAACGACGACCTCAACTTAGGAACACATTACCTCATAATATGACATTAAAAAAATGATATCATCAATTAGATGCGTCATGACACACGGTCAGGTAACTTGAAACCAAATTCGCCTTTCGGAAGTTCTACATCCAGAATGATTCAAAATATTATGCTTAAATTATGTTTAATTTTAGAATTAAATGGTTTATTTATAATAAATTTATACAATATATATGCATAATATTTATAACAGGTAGGTATATAATATTATTTTTATGGTTGTGGAAATTTTTTTTGTTTCTTTTTTTGTACTACTGGAAATGGTTTTAACAAAATATCTGAAATATTATTTTGATAGGTATAAATCAACATGGTAATACTGCATTTGTATGATAAATTTCCAACTGAAGCAAAATGGAAAACGATAGAAACATAGTTTTAATCCTGACGAAGCCGTGTCAATCAGACAATGTTTGAATTTAGTCTCCGTGGATCGTTGAATCGATAATGAGCTGAGGCTATAGTGTAACTTAGGGACATCCGGGAGTCTGTCTGATTCGAAACACCGCCGTAATGTATGACGTTGGGGAACGTTTTTCGTGTATGTATACTTACTAATAATATTGTTTTTGTGTTTCATAATACATACTAATATAATGATTTCCGCGTGTTGTAGTTTATAATATTGCCGTTTGTATTGCTCCAGTAGTCGCACTAGTTGATCGTTTACTTTTAATTTCTATCTGAAACCTAGTTAAATCGTGGTATTTTGGTGGGCATTTATAATATAGGAGTGAGTATCGTCGAAATGTGTGCACATAATGTACGATAATCGACCAATATTGGTCCGGGGCTGCACTTATGCGGGTGTTTGAGAAATTATTGTAGTCGTTCTCGGGCCTACTTTATAGATCCTTCGTCTCGTCGAGCCTCGCAATCGACTATCGTACAAATGACTATTCAAACTGATGTGCATATTATTTTAGTTTATAAAGTACGTACACGCTCTGATACAGTCGTGGAAATAGGACTTCGGCCACCGAACGGTGATGGGGACCTGCAGTGTTCGCGGCGAAAACGTATAATATAAATCCCCCGCCGACCGTTGGCCGTATAATTGAAACTCGCTCGAATATGCGTCGGCTGATTCCTCCATGACAGGTGTATTCGACAATTCAATTAGACCGTCTCCCATCCAATTATAATTGTCAACCGCCGGCGCC